GTCTTTCTCAATATCGGTCACCGTCTTGTCCAAATCATCGATTTCCTCAGAAGCTCTCGCTGAATCTTCCTCGGCTCCTGTCAGCGAGGTATTTGATCCTAAATCGTCTTCGATATCTCTCAACGGATCTTCTAATCTCTTAACTAAATGCAGAAGATGTCGATCCAATCCCGTTCCTGCCAAGATCGTAACACCAAACGGCAAGATTTCCATGTCATCCATGTTAACCCTATAAGTCCCGCAAGGAAGTGCTACAGCCACTAGGTCCAGAACATTGGCAAAGTGAGCAAAGGCGCCAAGCTTTTCGTTAATGCGAATGGGATCTTTCGATACTTCTTTAATGGTGGGGTGGAAAGGTGCAGTGGGAACTACCATGACGGTTAATTCGTGAGAATCATCATCTAGCGTCAGAATGCCTTCGACCATTCTTTTGTACTTTGCCTGCTTTTGCAGATCTTTGAATACATCAATGGCCGTGCTCTTACGTGCAAGTGCATTCTCGAAAACAGAGCGAATGACTGGGTGAAGTGTGTCTTTGTTCTTGTCGAACCAGCCATCGGGTAGTGTTGTAAGTCGCTCCAGAACGAAAGTACCGCTGTAAAGAAGCTCGTTCGCGGATTCGAAGGGCGTCCAGTCTACATCCACTCGCTGGCCGCCCAGCTCTTCCAGATTTGCAATTACAAGTTTGAACTGCTTCTGAAAGATGGGGTTACACACTTCAAGCGCAGAGTCCGGTGGTGTAGCAAACTTGAATGATGGCAAGATATCTTTGGAATCTTTGACATCCTCGGAATATACTCGTGATGAGATCTGGAATGGGGGAGGCTTGGCAAAATAGTCTTCTTTATCAAATCCGTGACATACCCTCCAAACTTTTCCAATGACTTCCGAAGTGACACCCAGAAAAGAAACACAATCTTGATGGAGACAAGCTGGCGCAATCCCTTGAGCTGAAACAGTTCCTTTGGTAGGTTTGAATCCAACAATATTGTTAAACATGGCAGGAATTCGAATCGAGCCTGCGGTGTCACTGCCCAAAGAAAATGACACTAAGCCTTCAGCAACACTTATGGCACTACCGCTACTCGATCCACCAACAACGTAATCTCGGTTGAGAACTGAGTGCAGCGTGCCAAATGGAGATCTGCAACCAGTCATGCCAGTAGCTAATTGATCCATGTTTGTCTTTCCAATAAATAGTGCACCGGCGTCGATACACCGTCGATAGACTAGTGATGAAGAGTCAGGAGTGTATGCAAGTGTTTGACATCCAATCGTGGTGGGAATCCCAGCAATGTCAAAGCTATCCTTGACACTGAAAGGTACGCCCCACAGTGGTGGCCTATTAGAACCATCTGGCCAACGCCTGTACAAATCTCTGGCTGAAGCCATAACATCTTCAATGGGCTGAAGGTAAATCCACAAAGACGGTTGTATATTTCGGTATGCTTCGATGCGGTCATAAATAGCTTGCACTACGAGTTGAGGTCTGACACCAGCTTCGTAATCAATCATTAGACTTTCAATATCGAGACTTGAGTCCCAGTAGTCCATTTCTTCCTCTCTAACATCACAATCTCGAAATATTCGGATCATACATGATTCTTGATGAATATAGGCAGTGGCTCGTTTCCGGGGTAAGGATATCGTAAACTCATTCACAGAGATGAAGCCCAAATTTCGAAAGAAAGACAAAGTAGAAATGGGGCTTTCCAAGTATACTGGGATTTTTTCTTTCTCCCCTCTTAACAGTCCCCAGTTAGTCAACAAAGTTCCAGCTCCGCGTTTTCTATACTGGGGCAGAGTGATGACTGAAGTGAGACCTGTCTTGCGCTGTCAGAAGGAGTGGCGGACACAATCTGAGGCCAAAGATGAAACCTGAAAGATTTTAATAAAAAGGTGCCTCTGGATTCTTACTCAAACACCGAGTATAACGAGGGGGAATCATTAGTATGAACAAGATTGGGATAATCTTACGATAGCATTGGGTATCACCCATGACCTTCATCTTATTGGATTCCTGCTTAGCACTGTACTCCTTGATAAGCTCCCGGCAGGCATGCTTTGGAGGGAATATATGAGCAAGAGGACAAACGGCCCGTGGGATCTTCTCAGGCAGATCCCACTTGGCTATTGCAATGATTTTCTTCATGTCGTCGGTGTCTCGCACTACCAAATTGATTCTCTCAACGTTTCCTTCTTTCAAAGTTAGGAGGACATCCTGTTTGAGACATTCACGCAAGCCTGCAAGGCTTTCTTCTGTTGGAAATAGAGTACGTTGCAAAGGCGTTTGAGCGAAGGCGTTCAGATGCATATCTGCGAGTGTATCTGCGTCTTCGGCATCCGCTAAGTCAAGTTGAAACCCCATAATGAGCAACGTTGAAGGTGCGTGTTAACCAATGAATACTGTCTGTTGACGGCCAATAAAATTATAACCTCACTAGAATCGCGATAGGGTATATTGTGCGTTATAAGTTGTTGTCATGTTTCGTGATGTTCATGAAGCAAGCGTCTTGTACCTTCTACTCTCTTTCGCAATCGCACCTTCCTACGTTAATAGCTTGCTATTGTTCGTTGGAAAAACAATCCTTTCTCATCTGGTACTTTCCTGCGATGAGTGAAGATAAGTGACAAGTACTTTCCATTCACGTACTTTCGTTCCAATGTCAATAGACCTCTGCTATATATGCCGATAAATACGTGCGCTCACTTTCCCATGTTATTTGTTAGTCTTCTGTTACGTAAGGTAACTAGCAAATACTACGCTCTCGCTCCTTTCTTCTCTTGATACCATGTACGGAGTTTGCTAATATCCTATACCAAACTTCACACGCGTTGAAAATGATAGAAATGCTAACAATTGTAGGAAGATTCGAGTTGTTTCTCCTTGGCTATCTACCTACCTACCTGGTACGGAGTAGTTTACCAGAAACCACCGGCGGTTGATCATGAGCTTTGATTGGGTGTTTCTGCTTATGTAAAGCAAACTCAGCATTGCTGTCCTACACAAGCCACATACGCCACAGTGACGTACGCAATTACCCCTCTTGTTTTTGGCCATATTGATCTGCCCACTTTTCGCCCCTGTTTCCCATTCCATTGCATGCTACAAATACATTGAAAGAGCCACGATACAATTCAACAAAAAACCATCAACTTTTTTTACACTCAACACAATTCACTCAAACCTCTTTGTAACAAACAACCCAATAATAAAGCAAAATCACAAATCATCATCCATCCTCATCATCATGTCTGCCAATACAGTACACGTCAAGAACATCTCCTCGCAGACCAGCGAGAAAGAAGTTAAAGACTTCTTCAGCTTCTGGTGAGCTTCAACCCCATTCCTTAAGTTCTACTTCAAGATTTTAACATCAATTTAGTGGAAAGATTACCAGCCTTGAAGTTGGATCCGTTGGAGAGACACAAAACGCCACCGTTCAGTTTGAGAAGGAAACCGCAGCTAAGACTGCTTTGTTACTCGACAACACTCAACTTGGATCTACCCAAGTTAAGGTTACAAGTGCATCCGGATCCAACGAGGATGATGGAAGCCACTATACTTCCAATGAACAGCGTGACAGCGATGATATTACCCAGGAGGAGAAGCCAAGAAGCCGTATCATTGCAGAATATCTTGCCCATGGTTACGTCATTGGAGATACCGCTGCTCAACGTGCTATCGACCTGGACCAAAAGCATGGAGTATCTAACCGCTTCCTCGCCACCTTGAACAGTCTCGACAGCAAGTACCATGCCACTGAGAAGGCCAAGGGCGTCGATCAATCTTATGGTGTTACCCAGAAGGCCAGCTCCCTCCTTTCTGGATTAACCTCTTACTACGAGAAGGCCGCCGGAACCCCAACTGGTCAAAAGCTTGTCAACTTCTACACACAAACCTCTCGCCAAGTTCAGGATATTCACGCCGAGGCTCGTCGTTTGGCAGATATCAAGAAGCAGGAAGGTCCACAAAAGGTTCCTGGTACCGAGAAGACAACTTGTAAGTGTGGTTCAGTTTCTGGAGAATGTCCGTGTGCCCCTGGATCCTGTGCATGCAGCGACTGTGGCAAGTCCGATGTCAAGAAGGTTCCAGGTTCTGATAAAACAACCTGCGGTTGCGGTGGTAACACTTCGAAATGTGGCTGTGCTCCTGGTCAGTGCAGCTGCAACTCCTGTCCCAAGGCCGAAACGGAGAAGGTTGCTGGTAGCGACAAGACGACATGCAAGTGTGGTGGAGACAGCAAAGACTGTCCCTGCGCGGAAGGTCAATGTGCTTGCACTGGATGTTGCAAATAGATCAATTTCTTTATGTTTATTTCGTTGCTGGTCATGGAAATCAAATTGTATCATTAGTTACCTGCTGACTTAGCTTTTTAACCAGCTGATTCAGCAGCTATTGTGGACTCAACCAAGGTTGCACCTCTCGATTCTCAATCTGAGAAGTCAACCTTTGCTTGAGCGTTTTGGGTTTTTGATATCTTTTTATGGGAGTGGCAATTTTTGGGATCAGTATGAATGGTTACAGAAAACGGATATTAGGGATGAACTATCAGATTAGGTTGGACGGTTGTTTGCAAGCGATGCGTTGGGGCAATATGAAGGTTAATGATCAATTTGCGAATTAAATATCACAAGTTTCTCACAATAATTACGTGCCCCTCTAATATGATGTTATTTGTGACAGTAAAGAGTTCTGTTTACTTGGCAGTTTTTGTAAAAAGTGACGTTTGCGTCCACATAATTACTCAGAAAACCGTGACGTTGATGCATGACAACATTTTGTTGATGGATTAGTTATGTACTAGTCTGTTGTTGAGATATGGATAGGTAGACCTGCATGTAGGCCAACAAGACCATCCGAAAATATTGAGCCCCTCTACTGTTCATTGAACCACATAATGGGTGGAGAATTACGTTTTTCAAAGAGTCTGCATTTTATTTGGAAATATTGATACACATGGCACATTTTCACGATAGTAAGCCATATCACACCAGAGTTCCTTCATAACGAGTTTATTTCATTGTCTCATTTAACTCCTCCCATTTCATGACGGTATCATATCATCTCGTATCGTATCAATACGTACACTTCCTTTGGAAGTGCGACTAATATACATGTCCCCATTCATTATCCCGAACACCCTCATATCAGTCCGCATTTAGTTCTCAGTCTTTGAGCGAGTCTCGTTTGAGTGATCCTCGAGGGGTCCCTTTGGGTTTGAGGAGAGATTCTGTAAATGGAGTGTTAGTATTGAATCTGATCTTTTATTTACTCAACGAGCAGTTATGAACTTTACGTACCTCAAGATCAGATTTGCTGTCTTGTTGGTTGTTGCCTCCTTGGCTGACTCCCTTGGCATCGGAGGGAGCACCTTTTTGAGCACCGGATTGGGTCTCGGGTGGTGGTGATTGACGTCCTTCAGGCATGATGTATGTGTGTGTGTGTGTGTATGTGTGTTTAGATAATTCTAGGGAGAATTAGTTTGACTGAAGAATAGATTTGAGATTTGATGTATAGAACATGGAATAGGAGGTAGAGATTGGCTTGTATGAAGCGAGGGACCGACGACGATATTAAGTTGATGCAGATAGTTGAGTACGTGAGTGATCAAGTATGAACATGAACTTACATTGATGAAGAGGAATTGAGTTTGAGAGATAGATAGTAAAGTTGTGTATAGTTTTAGATGTGAGGGTTGACAGAAACAAGCTTCTCCTTTTCTATATACCCCTCTAAGCTTCATACGTCATAGAGGAAGTTGCCCCCCACTTCATCTCTTCACGGTGACATGAACTCGGGGCTTTCACTCCAGGCTCAAACAGAATCATGTGATTATACTGAGCTTGAGCATCAGCCACAAGTCACCAGCCACAAGCCAAGATTAGCCTCAAGCTTTCTAAATTATGCGTTATCAAACCGTTCCTCAGCAATAGTGCAACAGCCTTATGATTTTGTTACAGTTAGATTAACTAATTGATTTACAAACTTATTCTAATCCTACTCCTATGTATAATATGGTCCCGCACTATTGAAACCTAGCAATACATAAACGTGTATTTATCGTCGCGCGAAAGTCTACAATCCACTCCGTGCTCACTTCGGTGAAAGTGATGGCACCAGATCTAAACTCAGTACCTATATCTACAAGACCTCAGGAGGTTGTAGCATCTCCACGTCTTACATCTCGTACTCCTTCCCGACGCACTTCTCAAGCAATGGCTTCCCCAAATAATCTGTCGACTTCCTCCTTAAATATTCTTCCTTCAAACCAAAGTGCTGTCACTGCAGCTTCACCTCCTTTGATGTCGCCTTCCAATAATATTTTGACATCTGCAACTGGCACGATTCCTTCAGGAGATAATACCGGTGTAGGAATGGGACCTGGACCGTTAAGACACCCAAAGCCTTTGACGGCTGCCGATTTACATCTACAACTGGAGAAAGAACAAGAAGCTGTCGTATGTACATTCCGACAGTTTATCAAATGTCTAGTAATCTTTCAGACAATGAAAGCTTGCATTCTGGCTATATATACTAATCTTTGTGATGCTATGATAGGTAAATCGATTAACCCGCGAACTGAGTATGCTTCGTGCTGCTCAAAATGCCTCTGTCGTCTCAAATGCCTCGTCCACTTCCGCAGGTCATCCAGATGGGTTAGATAATTCAAACCATCTCCTATCCGGACCCAATCACCCCATTCCTTCGCATCGTCGCCATCACCGCACATCTTCCAGCACCTCTACTCGAAGCATTACTGCCACAGCAGGTAGTATCAGCACGACCAGTGGAATCGCTGCCCCTGCCGCTCGACGCGTCGATTCACTACCCCAAGCTATCTCCCTCAGCCGCCAAAACTCCACAACTGGTGTTCACAGATCCGGAGCCAGTAGTCCTGCACCATTGAGCGGTAGTTATGGACATGCAGATCAGTTCTCGCATTTCTATCACCAACAACGACCTAGTATGCTACCACATCGTGATTATTCATCGGGCAATGTACCAACAATGGGTAGTACTGCGGGTGAAGTTGGCAGTGCGACAAGCGTGCCAACAACAGCAAGATATGAGGAGGCAGCCCTTCAAAGACAGGAATTAGAAAATGTAAAGAGAGAGAATGAGGCGTTAAAGAAGAGGATTAGGGAGTTGGAGAGGACGATAAGGGATAGAAGACAGAGCGATGAAAGTTTGAACAGACCAAGAAGTGAAAGTGTCAGTACGTCGGCTAGTGTGAGCATTGGAAGAGGTAGGGATAGCTTAAGGAGTAAGGATGTGGAGGAAGATGAGAGCGTTAGGGTTGGGGAGAGTGCTAGAAGTGGTGGCTTGAGATGAGTGGGTTTGAGTTGGTTTCTCACAATCTGATATTTGGGAGTTCGTGAAGGTTTTATTTCTCATTGATTGCTACAAATTTTCGACTTGGCTCGAGGAATAGGAGAAAAATATGGCGTATGAGTAGGTTTTCCTACATGGTCTGGTCTAGTTTGCGTATTACAGGGAAATATGGGAAATCTCAGAATCCAGCCCAAAGATAATTTATTAAAATGCAATTACCTCTTTGTTGAAATAGCTTTTGTTGTTGTATAACCTTATTCGTTGAACCTCTCGCACATTCATTAACCCGCATGACTATTCGTACTTTAAACGCTTCCGAAAGGTCTTCCGGCGTAGTGTAGACTAGATTAGATTCAACGTTGCCCATAAAATATTTAGCCCACAAAATGAGACCAATAATCAGACCCAACGACTACCCCAACCACTATTTACATGAACACGAGTCGAAGTAATAAAAGTAGCGTGGTCGAAGGGGAGGAAGACGGCTGTATATGCTATTTCGGCTGCGAGACCGAGGGGACCTTTTGAGGGGGAGGGGTTGGGCTAAGATGGAAGCGAACGTCATCACTCGGATCTGTTAAAGAGATTGTTCGTTGCAACATGTACACCATACGAAACATAACCTGTCCTCTTACATACCATATCTTGACGCCGATCATGTCAAGACACGAGACCTACGAGCCTGTATTCAAATTTCATTCCTAAGCTTCAAGGGTTGATATGAAGTTCCAAGAGTATCTGCAACGCCAAATATTACTTGCTTGATAACATATTTCGCGACCTCCAAAGCCGATATTGGATCGCTAAGTTCAAAGGTTCGGATATTATTATTGACCCGAAGTCTGAGACAGAGTTGATTATCGTCAGAGATGCATGAGTTCATGTACTCCTCTAAATCTGTTGGGCCCAAATGGTCTTGCTCTTGCAATATCACTACAGCTCAACTGCTTAGTTATGGTTCTGTGGTTGCCCCAGCCGACATCATTGAATATGGCCTTGCAACTGACCTGACCCGCTCGGATCTTGTAGCCATCGATGCCTTACTTTTCATGAATATGATCATAGATGTTCAAAGTGCCGTTATCCCCGTTTGGTTGAGAAACTTGAATCCAATGGCGAACGACTACAGTTCGGAATTGTAGAGATGCTGAAAATATAGGGTTATTTTAGGGGAAAAACGCGATATTTCGTTCCAATCAAGAGTGAAGGAAATGTTTGGCTGTGATAGTCAACACAATACATCTTATATAGAAATGGCCTTGATTACCGGCCAAGGCATAGTTGTACAGAAAATCATACAGACTACTAGGAATTGCTCGAGTAGAAAGGAAGATTCAAAGCATATGATTGCGCCATGTAGTGTAGGATTGATGGTCTGCCAGGATAATAAGTAGCAGGAATGTACTGAAGAATTACAACCACAGTTCTCCCGCAATTGACAGAAAAATCCGACAGCCGACCTTGCAAAAATTAATGAAAATCTAAAAATGGATCTTTTTCAAAATTGAATTTCAACTTGATTCCATATTTCAAATTCTTTGAAATTATGACTGAAGAATAAATATTCAACAAATAATCATTGCTGAGTGTTTGAAGAAGTGATATTGATTCGTTGTTTTGATATCAAATTTCGATCGAGGTATACCGTAAACTCTGTAGGTTTTTGGTATTCGGCTTTTTATGTCGGTCGCGAGAGTGTCAAACGAAAAAATAGTTACGCACAGACATTAGCAGGGTGTACCTACGACCAGACCAATGAATGAAAGATTCGAGGCCCGCTTATTGTCCTTCACCAACAGTCCGAACGAGGTGATTGCCCCAGATGGCAGGATAGACACATGCCATTGTTTGAACAAGTTCAACCCCTTCTACGTCAAACTGCGAAGTCTGACCCGATGAACTTGTCCCTACGATTCAACGAATCATGCCTTCTCAAACAAGTCCCTGTGTCTGAATCCATATCAGCCTTTTAGCAAGGCAAGCAAGGACTATGGGGAATTACTCTATGAAAATCACCGAATCGTACTAAGGATTCTATGCCAGTATTTGCATTGGACAAGATGATAGTATTATATTCAGTATTATCATTGACCATACGAGCAAGTTTTCCGCGCCTCAGCGACAAGTGCAAATGGGGCTGTATGGTTTCCGAAGTGAAAAATATATAACTTAGTATAACGTGTTAGATGAATATCAAATTGTTCTTCAATTGACTTCTTCACTGTCATAATCGGCTCCAATACCATCCGAAAGTTCATCCACAGCATCTATAGAGATCTTAATTTTTCCATCTTCCGTCTTCGTACACAATACTCGCAACAGAGCTCCTTGTATAAGTCTTTAAAAATGACCGGAAGTTGTGCTGGTGAGCTCCAAATGTCACTTTCTTCCATCACTCGCAAGTCCTGATTTACTTAGCCCTTGATACCCCTAATACAAAATGGAGCTTCTGTCCCAATATCGGTGCCGCCTACTTGTTTACCATCCTATTCCTTCTCACCACTTTGGTTCACTTGGCTCAAGCTATCTTCCATAGAAAGGCATACTGTTGGGTCGTTGTAGCATCAGGACTAGCACAGACTCTTGCGTATATATTCAGAGTCACTAGTATAAAAAGTCCTGCTAGTTTTGGAGATTATGCAGCTTGGTTTATTCTGATTTTGGTTGGTGATTCCCTTAATCAACATCGATTGATAAAACTAACTTAGGTGTCTAGATTGCACCACTTTTCACAAATGCCTTCACATATATGGTCATGGGAAGGATGATCTGGAACTATGTCACAGATGCTACGATATGGAAAATAACAGCATGGAGATTTGGACTCTACTTTGTGATTTTAGATATTGTGTATGTCTAGTCAAATTCCTATAAGCTTCAATACAGCACTAACATAGAATTCAGAGCACTCCTCATCCAAATTTATGGAGCAGCGTCTGCGTCGGGTGACAACGCAACCTCAAGCCAAATCTTAGATGGTATGTGATCTGCGCAGATTTCATCTGCTTGAGCTAGCTAACATTGCTCTAGGCCTTCATGTTTACATGGGTGGTGTTGGAATACAACAATTCTTCATTTTCGTTTTTCTTTTCTTCGCCTTCAAGTTCCATCAGACACTTCGTGACCAGTCCCGTCGAAGCTGCCATACTCCACGACAAGCATGGTCCTTACTTTATGCCTTATATGCAGTCATATTACTGATCACTGTAGGGCACGCTCCTCTCCCAGCTTCTCGAATACCGTTTCTAACCCACCTCATAGATCAGAATTATTTTCCGTCTTGTTGAGTACTCCCAAGGCCTCAAAAGTAGCATTCCCAACCACGAGGCGTTTCAATACTCTCTTGACTCTGTTCCAATGCTTTTTGCTCTCGTTATCCTCAACATTTTTCATCCTGGTCGCATCATGGCGGATCAGGATTCAAGCATTCCAGGGAGGAAAGAGAGGAAGGGCGTCGCCTTTAGAACGAAGATGCAGAAGATCGGAAATAGTGATGTTGACGACGTTCAAATGGTGTAGGATTTTCAAGTTGTCATGAGCAGCTTCAGGTTTAGAGTTGGAAACAGATATTGTACAACTTGCGAAAGAGAATCAGCGTTAACATTAGGGTTGTATTGGAAGCTGGGCTATAGAGATGCACAAGTTGAGTTGGAGTTGTCATCATGATTGATTGATTGACATCGGTCGTTGTAATCACTGAATATCGTTTTCAGCACGTTACGGGAAGATACCTTCAAGCCAAAGGTAGCTCTGTTCAAGCAGGGATGAGAGATTACCTTCGTTGAGTTGAAATATACTTATGAGATTGGTTGAAACTAGGAATGCGAATATATAATGTATTTTCACGTCATGTTTGTCAGTTCGATATTTACATGTCAGTGTGGTAACACAAGCTACTTCAAGGGCATTGTTTATTACTACCTACTATTCAAGATCATCTAATAGAATATTTAAATCCTCTTTGACAATTCATTATCAAGCAGTATTTTTGGGGGTAGAGTAGATCTTCAACGTGCTATTGTGCGCCAACAGGGTGACAGTCAATTAAAGTTATGAACCACATCAATCGTGACAATGGCAAGCGGTAAGTGCAAACTTCTACTAAATTTTATAACCCCTAATTGTAGAAACCAAAAGCCGTTCCGGAAATGTTGTAGGAAACATGTAGTAGTAGAAGCCCCGCCCCCTTTCTTAGACATAAAGCTTGTCTGCCCTCCAGCAGGATGGAAAAATCGGGAGATTGAATAAAAATACACTTTTCAGCAGTCGATATCAAATCAAAGAATCATTATTTTGAATCAGAAATGCAAGCCTTATAATAGGAAGTATGTAACTCGGATTACGATATGAATTGATATCATTATAAGATATTAAAATGTCAGTATTTTCAGTGTGTGATTTTATCTCAGTGATTTAAGCTGCGTACAATAGGACGGGACTCGTCAAAATAACCGGCCAGTTTGCGGATTTTTCGGGTAACCTTAACCTTATCTTTGTGCTCAATTAAGGGGTGTGTTTATGTACTAGGTATACGCAACAACAGTTATAAGGTTAGCATATACTAGGATTCTTACACAGATTGAACTGTGATAATTACTTTTGTTACAAATATTTTGCTGCATAAAGATGGGACATTGCTCGAGTACGATACTATCTGTGCTGTTCTGGCTCTTCGCCTGGTCGCTCTGCCAAAAGGCATCAGGGATTTGGCGGATGCTTTCTATCCTTAACCACCAGGTGAACCTTACAGGGCGCAGACCCACTCACAGCCTCAAGTCACCTCCTGTGAACTTTATTACTTCTCCCGAACTTAAAGTTCGACAACATGTTGAATCGTGTTTTCTCGCGAACTTGTGTTCACAATTCTTCGAAAAACATCAGGATAGCTAAATCATCATGCCTAGAGTTGCTCCTGGCCAAAGGAAACGAGCCTATAGACCGAAGACTAAGACGGGGTGTGTGACTTGTAAGTATGTATTTCAATGCCATTTGATATGTCATATATCTAACCACTGTGTAGAAGTAAGGAATAATGATTCTCTCGTGTCTCAGTGTATATAGAATATGTATATAACTGAAATTACTACAGTCCGAAGAGTGAAATGTGACGAAAGACGGCCATCATGTCAAAGATGTGCATCCACCGGCCGGAAATGTGACGGCTATGCTGAGGAGTCCAGTGACTCTCCTGCAAGCTCTAATTCCGATTTCAACGATCACGAAACAAGTACTGTACTCATACAATCACCCTCGTCTTCAGTCATTCTCACATCTGATCGAGAGCGAGAGGCTTTTCACTTTTTTGTTAATATGACAGCTCCCATGATGGGCGGTTTCGGTGAGGAAAGCTGTTGGTCAGAAATGATTCCTCGAGCTGCACATCACGAGCCTTCCATTCGTCATGCAGTCATTGCATTGGGTGCTCTGCATCACAGCAAAGAAAGGATTTCTCGTTCTACTTCATCAAATAACCTGTTCTCTTCTGCCGAAGTACAATTTCCCCTTTTAGAGTACAATCGAGCCATTAAATGCTTGGTGGAACCATTTGCAAAGAAGGAGCGACAGGCTATGGATGTGTGTCTAATTAATTGCGTTTTATTTTCTGCTTTTGAGGTCAGTGCCTTTCTATTTGGAGGCCGAAGTATCGATGTTAATTTGCATGAATTGTAGATGATGCAAGGTAATTATGGCCATGGAGCCGCACATCAGGAAAGTGGTAGTAAGATACTTTGCGAGATCACATATGATGAAAATTCTCAGAGATACTATCACGATTCGCTCAAGACTTCCAACTACCCATACTTGCCGATGTCACTTCTTGAAGAATTATATCTGCGCTCAGATTTTGTTTATACCCAAGTAAGTTTGAGAGGTTCCCTTGCGGATGATATAAAGGTTGAATATTAATAAGTCCTCCTAAAGATGATCAACAGTCTCGACCAATCCCTCTACAACAAGTTCAAAAGCTCTCACTTCACAGCCCACCCTCCAGCAATATTTACTTCTCTTTCCCAAGCTCGCAACACCCTCCATTTCTTCTGGTCTCGTTTCCGGACCGATCTCAATAATCTCAATTGTCAACCGGACTCCCTGGAACTTACTCAGCGTTTCCACAATTGGCAAATGGAAATCATTCTATTTTCCCACAAATGGATATTCGCCTTCCAAGCCTTCATTCTCAAATATAGTGATACCTTTACCGAAGCTGATAAAATAGGCGTTGCAATTTTACAGATACAAAGCCATTCCGCGTACATGAATGCACATGTACCGCGCGGCGTCAAAGATAACCAAACGTTATGGGACCCATTTTTGTCCGTTTTTGAGAAAATTACCGTGCTATCAGAAGAGGTCATTTCCAATCCTGCATTTGGCACGTCTGTTTTCCAAATAGATATGGGTGTTATCGGACCTCTCTATCAAGTCGTAAGCGCATGTCGCCACCCGATCGTAAGGAGGAAAGCCATTGCCTTATTGGAACGTGTACCCAATCTTCAAGAGGGAATTTGGAATGCTGGTATGACGGCAAGAGTTGCTAGGAAGGTAATGGAACTCGAAGAGTATGGGATAGAAGATGTGAGGGAAGCGGCCGATATTCCGGATTGGGCGAGAATTAGTGATGTGGAACCTGAATTCGAGAAGGAGGGAAGACGAGTGACACTGACGTACAAAAGAAGCCACATAGTAGAGGGGCCTTTAGTCAGGAACAAAGTCACGGAAACCTTTGAATGGTAGACAGATCTAAACAGAGAAGTAGTAATTGGCGAGTTGAAGTAATATTGCCCCCTCGAAAATGCAAACCAAAGATATAATTTTGCCCCGATATATTGTAAACTGGAACATTTGTTCATATTTAACCGTCTTTCTCATACAGTATCTACATAACCTCTCATATCCACGCAAGAAATGCTGACCAGGATACCCACATAATCTTTCCCACCCCAAAACGCCATGCTATGTATTTAATACAAAAGAGGGAAGAGTTTGCACATCCATTTATCCGCAGGCAAGATTCGTTCAAGGTTCGTTCGAAGTCGTCCATCAGTTCAAGCTTATATCGGGATATTATCGTTCCTCGACCGTCTTGCCGTCCTCGAATTTATCCATCCTACACACCCATCAGCCCCGCACCTCAATAGCATTGATCACCGGTCCTTAAAAACCTTCGGTTTCCACCCTTTCTCCAATTCGGCCTCCCTCTCCAATGCTTCCGCCTTAACCCTCACTTCGCCCTCTAACCTCTCTCTCGCTCTCAACACTTTACTCTGGAGATAAAAACTTCCTCCCTTCTTCGGATCGTTCGTGTCAAACAATTTCTTGAACCGCGACATTACATCCTCCATATCCATTTTGCCTTCTTTTGGTGGCTTGACATTGAGAATTTTGCAGGCCTCATCTAGTGTGAGACCGTTGGAGGAGAAAGTTGGACCACCCGAAGCAGAACCGTTTTGTTGCGCTTTTTGGTATGCTGAGGAGGCTTTCGCTTGTTTCCAGGATTCGGTGAGGGCGCGCCCGAGAACTCGTGAGCCAGTTATGACGACTTGGGTTATGATGCGATGGGCCTTTCATTGAGTCAGTTATAGGATTTTCCCATTTGGAGTGAAAGAGTGGCAGAGTTGTAGAAATTACACTTTGAGGATGTATGTGGTGGAGCTTGTGAGAAAATACGCATTATGTACATACCATGATGATGGAACTGCGACTGTCAACAACAGATCCCAGACAATTGAAAAATGAATTATGGTGTGGAAAGGGCACTCACTGTTCATCAGAAGTCGAGAGATAATGTGAATATCTAGACTTTTTCCCGGAATAAACTTCCGCCATCGGCCGAATTGGCAGGGATTCCAAGGAATCTATTAATGCCTAATAAGGCTAGTAACCGTCATCATTCCTCCAGCTAGCTGGTAACCCCAAAAAAGACACCTTAAGATACCTGCGCTGCAAATAACCAAAACAATCACAAATGCTTCTCCTATTCCACATCGGCTCCTCGACTCTGTAAATCCTATATCGATCAATCTGCAATACAAGTTTAGAGCTTCTTATCGTCCCATCTTTTAAAAGATGTCGCAATTTTATTCCTCCCCTCCCCCCAATAACCCTTACGGCGCATCCAATACCGCAGCTCAAAACCTCCAATTCTACCCCTCAACATATGCTCCCGACCCCGTCTCCGGTCACGCAACACCACAGGCAGCATATGGATATGGTGCTCCTCCCGCCGCGCAAGCATATCCTGGTGTTGGGGGCGGCGGATTTGGATTCCCAGCAAGTGGACCAGCGGGGGTTAGTGGGCGGATGGGAGAGAGTGGTGGATTGAGAACAGGGTGGTTGGCTGCTTTTGGAACTGAGGGCTATGATGGTGAACCACCATTATTGGAAGAATTGGGAGTGAATTTCGGTCATATCAGGAGTAAGGTACGGTTATTCTTCCTATTATCATTCGCTTCTATGGAATGCGCAGATACTGATTTAAATACATAGACATTAGCAGTACTGAATCCCCTTGCGCATATCGATCAACACATAATGGACGATTCTGATCTCGCGGGACCCATTCTCTTTTTCCTATTATTTGGAACCTTCCTCCTCTTTTCCGGAAAAGTACATTTCGGATACATATACGGGCTGGCGCTCCTCGGATCCTCTTCTCTCCACCTAATCCTTTCGCTCATGTCACCACCTCTCAACACCGATCCTAATTCTCGGCAACCCGTCGGTCCCTCACATCTCTCTTCTACCCTCACATTTCCACGAAGTGCTAGTGTGCTGGGTTATTGTTTATTGCCATTAGTGCTCACGAGCGTGGTGGGAATTATTATGCCAATGGATGGACTGGTTGGGTATGTGCTAACCACATTGGCGATTGTGTGGTGTACATACAGTAGTAGTGGGATGTTCTGTGCCGTCGGCAGAATGAAGGGGATGCGAGGACTAGTCGCTTATCCTCTAGCCTTATTCTACGTTGGCTTTGGAATCATGGGTATTTTCTCAAGCAGAGGGGTTGGAACATTAGGAAAGGTTGCGGGAGCATAAATACACAAAAGGAATTGAAGAAAGATTTCTGTATACCCAGAGGCGTGTGAAAAGGGAGTCGTGGTTTACAAATGGCACGGGATGAAAGAGCCCAGTGGTAATTTATATGGTGTATGGGAACAGGTGGGTCAGAAGGATAGTATGGAATGGTTTGGGGTCTGGGATCTGTAAAATAGGTTCTTCTTTACTTGTACAGCACAACTCAAAGTACTCGTTTGAGGGATAAAAACATTAGGGGTGGGTAGCCGAAGCGAATAAATGAATAGACAAAGAACACAAATATATTCCCCAAGAGACCAGATCATGTGCAACTTTCTTCAGGGAGATAACAATGCAAGAATAAAATGATTACAATTCACACGCGCTATGGTATAAAATTCCCTTAATACCCCGTGAGAAACCCGAATTTCCCCTTCCAGATGCCTTTCCCAGTGTCACAATTACTCCAGAACCCATACCGAAAGTCCGCCCACCGTCCCGTCTACTCCAGTCCCATCCTGGCATCATCACTAAGCCCCAGTCCGTTGCTCTCGGTCTCGTGAAAGGCCTCTCGTCATCTCCTTCCGATTGCAGACTCACGCTACTTTTCCTATTTCCCCCTTCCAAGTATTCCTTCTTCAAACTACTTTTCTTGCTGCTAAGCCGGCCACTTTTATTACTCCTCAAACTAGCGTCATCCCGATCCGAATACTCTGGTGGGGGACTTCTCGATCTAGAACCTGAGAACGATGAAAGTCGCGTATGAGCAGAATTTGAATCTAGACTTGCGGATGCTTGGGTAGGGGTTGGCGAGGGCGTTATTTCCGTGCTCGAAGTTATTTCAACAAGCTCGGCGTCACGGTACCATTTCCTGCGGCGGGTATATCTTCCCCATCCATCTTGGCCTCGGCGACCGTTTTGCCACTATAGAAGGTCAGCTTTACATGTAAAAGACAAGCGGAAACAATATGATTGTACATACTTTATTATCATAATATATCCACCCTGTTCCCCCATCGCTCTCGGCTTTTGGTTTAGATCCACCTTCATCATATTCGGCAGCTCCTTCTACACGCCAGCGACTACCTTCAACCCACCTCCATCTTGCGCCACCACCCTCTACATCTGGCAATTCGAAATCTTCTTTTGGAGTAACAGCATTCAGATGTTCATCTGTCCATGCAGCCCTCTCATATGCAAACAATGATGTTGTCCATCCTAGCCCAACCCATCTACGCTGATTTTCATATAAAATGAATGTAAACTTCACCCCTGGTGCTTCTGGTCTTCTCTTTATGGCTGCATTCGCTGCTAACGATGCATCGGCATACGAAGATGCCGTACGAGGTGGTAGAGGAGGTTTATAATTGGCCCCATTTGTGCTTGGTGATAGCTCATCTGTTAAATGTAGACCAGTTAAGGCGGTACATATGCGACGAACGAGGGATGATCTCCATAGTATCGTTCTTGCAATTCGATTCGGACGAGAATGCCAAGTCAAGAAAATTGTTCCTGTTACCAAGGCAATACGTTTTGTGGTGATAACCTGCAGAGGGGGCAAAGTAAGAATAATCCATACGGGTGTGATAAGAAGGATTCGTATCAAAAGTGTTGTAAGTGCCGGGCGAGTTGTGGCAGATGTTGCTGTTCGCTGAGTCGATAGAAAATCCGTCAATTGTAAAAGAGGATCCAAAAGCACGTTGCATCTTGACGTAAATATCTTTAAGGTTTCCACAATCTCGTCCAAAGTTTTCTGGTGCTTGGTATTTGTAATTTCGGAGTCGACTCTTTTGTGACCCTTCTTCTGTTTCTCTCCTGTCCAGCTTGTTGATGATAAAGGGGAATAACGTCTTGAGTACATCCCCAGTATTAAACCAATAACGACTACCAACGGTCCAGCATATCGCATTACAACATCTCCATATAGGACAAATGCCCAAAAACTAGCGACGAGCAAGAAGCTCTCCCAAGGATCTCCACTCGTCCATGTTATTAACCCTACAAGTTTATTGAGGGGCAATAGAAAAGGATGCGAATATGCTAAAGCTCTTGTAATCTGCGGAGGAGTCGCTAGTAATAAGGGGGACTTGTGATGCACCAATATAGTTGATCTCTGTTTGTTCGCGGATGAGGCATGTGATAGAGTAACTGGAGAAAATGCAGCTATTGTCGGAGGGTTCGGATCAGAAGGAGTTGTTAAGGATCCGCCATGGTCATCTTTTCGTAAACTTGGAGTACCAGACATTTGATCCAACCAAGGAGTATCCTATTGACCTGGTTAGATGTGAGGTTCTGAAGATCTCGAAAGGCAGATTGTTGGGAGAAGGCTAAGCATGGGGCAAGACTTGGTGACATACGAACGCAGCCATTTATTTACAACGTCATTTCTATTAACAGGCTATACAAGGGGAAGGAAATGCTGGAGGAAGATCAACGGACTGCGTTAGAACTCCCCAAAAAGGAAATGATGATTTGATAAATTGGAGTATGTACGACAGGACAATCGGAAGAAGAGTTTGGGAGGAAGTAGAGTAGATATTTATTGAGTGAGCGAGGACTTACAATTGAACAATGGAAGGAATGAAAAGCGCTCTACTCGGCTCGAAATCTGGGGTACAGTACAATCACATGTCACAAGTTCCCAGCTAAATGATCATTGTGTGAATATCAATCAATATGGACTATCAATCAACCTCATGAGTGCAGCTCTTTTTCTCGCTGTACGTCACTAGCAGCCAATGAATGAGAGTCCAAAATCATAATAGTGAGGTATTGATTTGTGCCGATGCATGTGAATGTGGAAGAGGAGAAAGGATTCCAAGTCATACAATTGAATGTTGTATGAATTCCGTTTCCTGTACATTTGCAGAATCCATGAACGATACAATACTGCCGGTGCTGCGGAAGGTCAAAATCAAGAAGAGCAGGTAGGTAGGTAATAAGTAGGTAGGTAGGCAGGTAGAAGAGTTTCACCACTGGCATCATGCATCTTGCTACATCGTAACATCCTTTCTTGGGCTGACTCGGTGGGACGGATGACCATCAGGGACCTTCATATTGATTACCTAATCCCTCCTCTCCTCTCCCCGCACCTACCCGCACCGCCTTGGTCTCTAGCATGGCAGATTGCCGTACAGTTCATTGGCCGGATTGTCCCATGCTAACAATTTAACCGATCAATATTCAAAAAATAATAATGAGACAATGACGCTCCAGCCCATCTCCATCTCAGAGGAAACTTTTTCCATTAAACAATTCGATCCTCAACCTCAACCTTGACATTTTATCTGCAAAATATTAGTTTAAAATGTCGCGTCAACCGCCTCTTCCCAATGGCCTTCCGCCTCGACCTCCTGGAACTTTCTGGGAAAGAGATAGAGATGAGAGAAACAACAATTATCATACACCCGAGAGAAATCGTCGCGACATGGGTCGTGATTCTTATCGCCCTGCTCCTCCTCCTCAATACGATAGTTATGCTCCCCACTCTGCAAACCGCGATCGCGATATGTACCAATTTGGTGGTCACAATCCTCCTCCACCAGCATATGGAAATTATGCTCCTGGTGTACAACCTCCCCGTCGTCCTTCTGGAGCTGGAGATCCTTACCGTATGAATGATGGTTATCGCGCTCCACCCCCCGCTCCCAGCTTTGATTTCCGTTACGATGCACCACAGTCTATCAATTTCGAAAGCTCCGATAGATTTCAATCCCATGGACAAGGTCGCAATAACAACTCTGGCGGCAACAGAGATAGAAATGATGATCATCTTCGTCGTCGTCGCGAAAAAGATCGACGCGACAACAATCGAGGACGTGGCGGCTATCGCGGTCGAGGTGGTCCAAGATTGGCAGCAGATCGAGTTTTCTTGAAAGGAAAACGCTCGCCTACTCCTGAACTCATGCCAGGTATGAATGAAGATGCCTCTGCTGATGTTAAATACAGAGATATCGGCGACTTGTCTGATAGTGACGAAGCTGAGATGGACATGTCGGATGATGATGATAATGACGATCAACCCAAGAAAAAGATTGCTCGAACTAGTGCAAAGGCTGCAGATGGCGACAGTGTTCCAAAATGGTCAAATCCCGATCCATACACAGCCCTTCCACCACCAGGCGAATCTGACCGAAAGAAGAAGGATGTCGTTAAACTTATTAGGAAAGCTCGTGTCGCAACTGGTCAAGAAGGCGCTACTAAAGTTGATGCTGCTCAGGACGACTTCATTTCTTTTGACCTCGATGCGCCCGCAAGTATTGATAGTGAAGAGGATGATTACGAGCCCCAACCCTCCGAGCAGTCCGCACCCAGTTCAGCCAAATCTTTCAGTCACCTCGAAAACATTAGAAAGTTTGACATGCCTCAGCAATCACAAGATACTGTCACCCAATCAACCGGCATCAATAGCATGCCCATGGATGATGTCCAAACTCCCCAGCGAGCATCTAAGCCATTAGACCTATCGACCGATCCCGCTTTAGGTAGCAGAAAGCGTACCGCTAACGATGTGATCAAGCCTCCACCACTTGTGAATAAGCTGATTCCTGGTAAACCTCCCAAGTCCAGTGGAACTCTTCTTAAAGAGTGGCGTGCCGGACCTGGTGTGAATGAAGTCCCTTGGCTTCAAGACCATTCTGATACCTCTAACATGGGACTTTGGTAAGTGATAAATCTATCAACGAAAAACACTTCAAAGCTAATATTACTCTCAAGGCTACATAAAGAGATAATGGACTTCTACTATCATGTAAAACCTCGCAAATTTGAAGAAGTCATTAGACAGAAGTTGCTTGTTGACTTGAGGAACAATTTCCGCAGATATTATCCCGATGCTGATATCCTACCTTTCGGCTCTTTTCCTGCAGGTCTCTATCTGCCTACCGCTGACATGGATGTTGTCATGGTTTCAGATGAGTTCATGGACGGTGGATGGCCTAAATACAGCAGCAAAAGTCATATCTGGCGGGTTAAAAGCAATATTGAAAGAGATCGTCTTAATACTGGTAGAATCGACGTGATCACCAGCGCTAAAGTGCCACTTGCTAAATGGGTCGATGCTATTACTGGCCTGAAGGTTGATATGTCTTTTGAAAACGACACAGGCCTCATCGCAAACAAAACATTTCAAGAGTGGAAGGCTCAGTTTCCTGCAATGCCTATATTGGTTACCATTATCAAGCATTTATTGGCAATGAGAGGTCTGAATGAGCCTGTCAATGGTGGCATAGGAGGCTTTTCTATTACTTGTCTTGTTGTAAGTCTTCTACAGAACTTGCCACAGGTCAAGAGTGGAACTATGATACCAGAACATAATCTCGGCGAGATCTTGATGGAGTTCCTCGACTTGTATGGCAATGAGTTCAACACGCGTACCACTGCCATTTCTGTTAATCCACCTAAACTTTTCCCGAAAGTAAGTAATCCTCTCGATCAATCTTGTCATGATGCTAATTTATTACTAGTCTACAGCTCCTCGCGGCCTTTACAGAGATTTTGATAGTCCAAAGTTCTCTATAATCGACCCGAACAGACCCGACAATGATATCTCAGGTGGTTCAAAAAACACCCCTGCAATTCAAGAATGCTTTTCTGCTGCCTATTCTGCTTTGCAGCAGAGTATGAACACATTGCAACACGCTGACCTCAAAACTCGTCAAAATCAAAGTCTTCTTCGATGTATCATTGGTGGGAACTACGAATCCTTCAAGCTTCAAAGGGACCACCTTGCCCACCTACATGAACAAATAGTTGGCCCAATTGAAGATGAGTAGTTATGAGTCAACGTAATATTCAGGCCCAGAGCCGGTCAACACTTAGTTCATTTCTCGGTACATTCTTTCAGGTCGCCGAGTGTGCAGTACAAAGGGGTGGTTATTTATTATCAAGGCGTATGGATAAAGTCGATCAAGATACCCAATTGGCGTTCAATGCACGAAAAGTCATTGACTTGTAAAATAGCTTCGCAGATTTCATTGCTTTCCTTTATTTTCTTCATTTTGGCAGACTTGAGTTGGACCGGTTCTGATGATTGTCTCAACTGACCACTGACCTTACCCTAGATGATCGACACGAAGTCAAAGTCAAATGCCATGGGTCTTCAATGACAACAGACGAGGCGCTATCGATCTCTGCAAACATGATACGAATACATTACATTGCGCGCAAATACAAATTTATTATTCTTTTATGCTGTCCCAAAACAATACTGATTTCAACCAAATAAACTAACTACCAGTGTGAGATACTGATAAATTTTTTAGGAATTCCCTTTCAGCCTTTCAGGTAAGAAGGATGAAATATAAGATCATAATCTAGTCGGCGATCTTGATCGATCTCTTCTTGGGCACGTCAAGATCGCGCAACGGCTTAGATTCTTCTTTTCCGACAACCCTTTCTCACTGTAGTCGCGCTTTATGTGCGGCTATGGAGAGGAGTCACAGGGTGAAAAGAAGCGTGGATGAGAGAAGGAAAGGGCGGAATTTTAAAGTGATGGCTTGTTCTGTTTGTGGCAGTAGCGATGCGTCAAGTTGACGAGTAAGAAGGAAGTTACGATCAACTGTTCCGGCTGAATTGAAGGAATTCTGCTGGCGAGGGAGGGAGACGATGACGATTGTATTTTCGTCCAGTCTGCTATTCTTACTGGGGAGTTTGATTTCAGGTGTAGGAGATGAACTGTTGGGTTTTAAGGCTACTTTATGTCTCTGCTTTGATGGCTCGTTGAGCCTGCTAGCTGGAGTAGGGGAGTCTTCGTGAGAATCCTGGTGTTGGCTACGAAAGGAATTGGTGTGGTTTTATAGGGCTTGCTGCGGGGGGATTTAGATGGGTGGCGGTTTGTTGCCGTTGGGAACGCTCTTGGTAGGTAGGGAGATAGATGAGCGTGGGGATTAGATTGCTTCTCGTGTTGGAGATGGTTTTTGTTCTGGCTCCACAGATGTATAACTACCTATGTAAGCGTCTACGGAGCTCGCAGGGGACATTTTCGTCTGTGGAAAAGGAACAGGGGAAGAAAATGAAGCTCGCTTGGATGGGGTGTTGATATGTGGGAAGCTCGAGACGAGAAAATGGAAGACGGGGGTTTCAATCTTTGGTCTCTTCGATATTGAAGCTTTCTTTCGTTGTCTAGACATGTCATTGCAATGCTCGGGCTCGGTTGGCTCTCTATCTTTACGATTCTGATTCTGAGAGTGATCGTAATGGCCTATACTTCTAGACAATGTCATCTACTTCGAATATGGAAGAGCACTTTTCCTCCTTATACAAAGTTTGAGCTTGAACAGCTGGTTGGTTGCTAAATCTCTCCGAGCAACGTGGACATTGGTGAGTTTTGGGGTTCCTACGAGTAGCCATATTTCGTAACTATTAAGAATCTACACTGTGTGTTTGAGAATTATGGTATGAATACTTACTTCTATTTACTATCTATACAAACTCGCATCTTGAATGCAACTTTAATAAAGCGGTTTCGTTAGAAGAGAGTAGATGTGAGCTCAACTCAATTTGTGTATGGTTTATTGGGAATCCATGAGCAGAGCTTGAGAAGGGAAGAAGCATCAACAAATGCAACGGGAAGGGAAGCAATTGCAGTATCACTGAGAAGAGGTCACAATATGAGTGTATAGACTGAACTGGCTGACAATATTTGCATTTACAGAGAAAAAGAAAAGAACGAAAATAAAATTAAGAGCCAAATGAGTGTCGTGTACTTCTCAAATAAAGAAGTACAAAAAGATAAAGAAAAGAAAGAAAGAAAGAAAGAAAGAATTGAAGGATACAATAGCCGAAAGAAAACGCAAGAGTAGAAAGAAAAGCGTACTCTTCAACCAATCATCTTATATTTCATAGACCTATGCACATTCGAATGAACATTCGCAAACATGTGTATCCTTTGGCTCGCCCAACAAACGACCATCGAAACAAGCGCAGTTATCAACCGTGTACGCCTTTCCATTGAAGCTCCAGCGAGGAACCTTGAACCCCCTCTTCTCATCGAAGACATTTTGGAGAATCAGTGATTGGCTCCATCCCTGAGCGTCGATGAAGACATTTTGGACGAGCCCGTTTCTGATGGCTCCGATCGCGGTACAGGTGTTTGAGTAAACGGTTGCGCGGGCGTAAGCAACGAGGTTGTTGGGGTTGGATAAGTCGTTGTTGACGGCCATGGTGTTGGTGTTCCAGTTGAGAATACACATTTTGGGGTCGAGTTGCTTGATGCACATGGGGGTGAGGGTGCTGGAATTTGTGGAGATGATAGCTGGAGCTGGGAGGGCGAGTGCTGGGGAGAGCGCGGCCAGGATTGGGAGGTAGTTGATGAGTTGCATTGTGGTAGATTTAGTGATGAGCTGTTTTTGTAGTTTGAGGTAGTTCGTAGAAAACGGAGTATTGAAGTATATGTATAATTTTGAAACTTTTGCTTCGGTGGAATCGAAAATGTTGTTGCCAGATCAAGCTATCATATATAGCAATAGTACTAACAAAGACATAGTTTGTCAAAAGAATATCCCCTTTCTCTCTGATACAAAGCATCACAATTTCTATAAATGAACATTGTTAGTGCATAAAGCAGGGAAACAAGCTTCAAAATTCGTTTGCGAAAATCGAAGGGATTCTAAATAGGGAACAAAGAGAGACAAAGGTCGATGAATACATGCCTACTTGGATTTTCTAAAAGTAGAGTAGTCTTATGATGCAGACTCAAGATTCAGATTTCTCTGATTCGCTGCGTGGACTTTTACAATTCCGTCTAGTGTGCAATTTAAGATATATATAAAAGGTAGGCACTTGAGGCCGTGAACGAAAGCCTTGGGTATTGAATTACACTCTATTCGTTGTTGACAACTAATCGTCTCAGGCCCATCAGGCCTATCCAAACAGCTTCCTCGGTTCTAATAGTTCGACTTCCCTGACCAGGACACACATTTATCCATCTATCGAAGACATCCTTTGCCTCCACAACACCCAATTTCTGTAGTTCTCCGTCATTCTTCACAGCCACTTCTAGGCCTGCAACGCCGCCAAATACGACTAATAGGTGCTTGAACTTCCCTACCTTCTGTTCCTCATCATCATATAGATCTTGGACATCAACGCCTCGCTCAGAGGTTGCAATAGTCATATCATAACCTCCATCATATCCGCATTCTGTGAACACGTCGCTTAGACATCCGGCTCTCCTAACATTCCATCCCCAATAGTAGCCACCCTCTTCTCTTGGCTCTTCTGGACTCACAGCTTCTGCTGTAATGATATCACAAGATTTATCTTTTGCGGCCTTCTCCCCTTCCGCGTCAAATTTCAGAGTGACTCTATTATTTGCTGGTATCTGCTCCACCACTGTGACTGGTATTCTTAACCCTGCTTCCACAAATGTTCCATGTTCATCTGCGCCAGGTAATGTAGTACCCTCCCTATACATACACCACTCGTCTGCCCTCAAGTGATGTGGTAAATCTATACTAGGCAATGCGCCTGCCGTTCTTAAGTTCTCATGAATTGGAAATAGATGCTTTCGTAAATTTGGAGGTGTCTCTAGAAAGCTGAGTAGATGGGTAAGGAAATGATCGGGATCTGATTTTGCCGTGTACTCGTCTTCCAGAGGCGGCTTCTGCTGAGAACTATGGGATTGAGTGGCTGGATGTTTAGGCTTTTTCGCAGGACGAGCATTGCCATCGTCAAAAACAATGACTTCGTCGACGCAGAAAACTGCGAGGGCGCGGGCAATTTGACCCGCCATAGATGTTTTTAGATCATGGCTTTGAGCGCTGAAAAAGTCAGCATGATTTTGTCATTGTTATTTGCAAAGGTAAAATACTTGGCAATAATGCTTCCCGGTAAAGCTACACTAACTGTCCAATCTCGACCTTTCTTGGGTTGAAATACAGCTGTAGGTTTAGAAGTATCAACCGCATCAGGAGCTGTCACTTTCCCGTTAGAAGTTTGTCCATTGGCAGTGGAATTGGCATTCCCAGTGGCATTGGCTTCGGCCTGGCGCTTCCGCTTCTAATATCAAATATGTAAGTATCCATGTACCAATTAGTGATATCCAAAAAAAAACATACCTTTGCGTTCGTCTCTCCTCTACCCATTTTTGTAAATAATTTGGAAACTTTGGATTTCTTTCCAAAATATATATGGAGGCGGTCAAAGGTTATCCCGATAAAGCGGCAGAATCTAATAATCCATGCGCCCGATAAAGACTCCCAGACCAGACCAGATCTCCACTTGAAGCTTTCATAAGCTCAATCTATAAGCAAGCAAGCAAGCAAGCAACAAGACAAACATTCCGACGACACAACTTACTTGACATTACAGAACTTGCAAGATTTTATTATAATAAAAATGGCGGTACATATCGAATCGTCTATGCAGTTTAGCAAATTGCTAGGCTCATCAACTATAGTTGTTTCCGATTGTAATTTGACTTCCCCCAATGCAATAGATGCATATCACTAACAATACATACAGTTTATGCGGACTGGTGCGGACCCTGCAAAGCCATCGCCCCAACCTATGAATCTTTAGCTACCAAACACTCGAAGCCAAATCGTGTTACATTTACGAAAGTTAATGTAGATAATCAGCAGTCCATAGCTCAGCGATATGGAGTTAGAGCGTAAGCAAGGCCCTTCGATACTTAACTGAGCTCGTTCTCATAACCCTACTAGCATGCCAACCTTCCTCATCTTTCGATCTGGCGCTGTCATCGAAACCATTCAAGGCGCAGATGTTCGTAAGCTCACGACCGCCATCGAGAATGCTGTGAAACTAGCCGGTGCACCGAAGCCATCCTTTTCCAGCCCAGGACAAACACTGGGCGGATCTGCCCCTACGCGCTCCACGATGGCAAGGCAATTTAGCTTTGATAGGCTACTCCACGATATTATTGCATTCTTCGGACTTTACCTCTATTCCCTGTTCTCATTTGATGCATATACCGCAGCAGAGAACTCACCATTCAATATTCACAAGGTCCCTGCTGCGCCGGCAGCAAAAACACCTGGTGGAAGAGCTGGAGCAGCTACTCAGGTCGGAAAGAAAGTAGGGACTATCGCTGACTTAGCGGGCAAAGACTGAATGAAATGCGTGGAGTTTACTAGGCGCTGTACGGGTGGCGTAATTTTTGATATCATCTTTCGGTTAGAACACCGTTATTCTTGGTGCAGTCACAATAATTGAGCAAAAACTATGCTGGAAAAATTATATTCTTCGAGTTTCATCTTTCTTACTGGGCAACGTTGAGATGAATAGGACTGATCTCCTTATTCTCTTGTTAATGGAATGTTGTGTTACATGAGGATATATCCTGTCACTCTATTCAACGTCGGCCCTAAAGGTATTATAACCTAACTCCATACCTGTGCCTGTCTTTTTACTTGATCTACTGGGAAGTGGAGATTCGCAGCGGTGAAGTACCCTGATATAGGCAGGCTAAAGTATTGCGTAGAACCTTCTTGGGAGCATTGGTGAGACGATAGGGGTACTCGATATACGACATGATACTGCACTACTCGAGTATAGTTTACCACATATTTCAACGATATCAAGAACGGTGTGAATACTATATCGTTTTTCAAGATTTGAACCATAAGTTATTGAGAATCAATTGATGTGTTGAAATCAACCTCGTGATAAATGGCGATTCTTCAAGTCAAATCTGATAGTCAAAAGGATCTTCCAACGTGTTTTTTGGTATCTTGTTGACATTACGTGGGGGATCCTTACCCCGCCAGCCTGCATACAACTGGAGCTTTTGATTGTTAATCGCAAACTAAATAATAAAGCCAGGACTTAAGTCTAAACTCCGGGTGACGTCAAGTTCTCTTGCCTATATCATGTGTGTATATAAAAGGCATAAGTTTCCATCTAAAAAGAGTACTTCATTCTACATCACTGCAGCAAACAAAAGAACTCCTTTTCCAACATGGCCAAGAACTTGATGAAATACACCAACCTTGGTGAATCTGGCCTCAGAGTCTCCCGTATCTGCGTAGGTTGCATGACCTTTGGCGACCGTCGCGGAAGCTTCAAAACGTGGGCTGTCGAAGAAGCCGAGGCTCTCCCTATCCTCAAAGCTTGCTATGATTCCGGCATCAACTTTTTCGATACTGCAAACGTCTACAGCAACGGCACATCCGAAGAGATTCTCGGTGCCGCTATCAAGAAGTATGCATTGCCTCGTGAGAACATCGTTGTCGCCACTAAATTGTGGGCGCCGGTTGGCAAGAGAAAGGAAGAGGGATGGGAAAATGCACTTCAGATGGCGCCTGAGGATAGAGATGCAAACGGATATGTTAATGCGTATGGATTGAGTCGCAAACATATCTTCGATAGCGTGGATGCGAGTTTGAAACGCTTGGATCTGGAGTATATTGATCTACTACAGATTCATCGGTTTGACCCACGCACGCCAATAAAGGAGACGATGAAGGCCCTGCATGATGTGGTGGAGAGCGGCAAGGTTAGATATATTGGTGCGTCTAGTATGTATGCGCATCAGTTGTTGGAAATGCAATATACGGCGCGATTAAATGGATGGACGGAGTTTATCAGTATGCAGAATTTGCATAATGCGGCTTATAGGGAGGAAGAGAGGGAGATGGTGCCGAGTTTGAAGAAGTTTGGTATGGGTATGATTCCTTGGAGTCCGATTATGATGGGGTATCTAGCCAGGCCTCATGATCAGGCTGCAGAAAGTGACAGAGGGAAAGCTATGAGTGGGAAATTCATGGGGAATGAGTTGACGGAGGCGGACTTGAAGATCAATGAGAAGATCCAGGAGATTGCGAAGAAGAGAGGAGTTAGTATGGCGATTGTGGCGATGGCCTGGAGCTTGAGCAAGGAGTATGTTACCGCGCCTATTGTTGGAATGGGAAAGATTGAGAGAGTTCAAGAGGCGGTCGATGCTGTGAATTTCGAGTTAACCAAGGAAGAGATAGCGAGCATTGATGAATTATATCAACCTAGGAAAATCATAGGGTTCTCTTAGGTTTGTGGTTAAATATGGAAGCAATTTTTTTACTAGATTAAAAGAGGTTTAAAACTGGCAGTCATAAACCCAAATCAGATCAATACACAGATTCAGCTTGTACTTTTAAAGAACCTCAAGTCATTTATATCATGTATGTAGAGCAGCATAAGTAGGTATGTGTTCAAAATTATGATTCGGTGAAACAAAGTGTTCAACATATCTCAACTATTCATTAAACTGAACTTACAACACCAGAATACTGTGACGTTAAAAGATAATGGATGAAATCATAAGCATCGCCAGATACAAGCTCTCACTACAAGTAACTTATGTTCACCCATTTTGATACGGAGTTTTGTTTATGAAGCGCGATCAACTTTGAAAAAGCCAACTGGAACTATATGTCATGCTCACAGGCACTGAGGGTAGACTTGATAGATCTTCACTGGAAGCCATTACAAAGCATATCTACTTCACTAACAAGCATGTTATTTCCCGCTCATAAAGGTTTCTAAAGAATTACATCTACACGTTCACATAACTCTCCAAATCATCAGCCGAATAGCATTGCCCCTCAATCAGCAGGGTATCAAAAATGTAGTATTAATTTCAGTTCCTAATCCATCACGAAGACTCCGCCATGATAAGTCCTACAGTAATTCTCAGAGCTCCCAGTGGCCCCTTTTCCTTAACTAGCTTTCCGAACATATCTTTAATCTTACTCAAACTCTTACGATCGTCTTGTTTATGCCCTACACGAGTGTTAGTATCACCAAATTTGTCGACGAGATGCCTGAATGACTAGTACTTACAGCTACTAGGCAAGCCTAGATCAAGATCCAGATGACTCTCCACATCACCGGTCCAGTCGAAACCAATCTTCCACCCTACTCGAATCTGGACATCATCCCCATCAAGAACAATATTCGTCCGTCCCATCTGTCGAAACAAATCCTTTCTCGTCCATTTTCTGGTGTTTTCTTCTCCCTCCCCATCATCTTCCTTGTCATCTTCAATAGCTTTTCTCTTCCTTCTTTTCTTCCCTTGCTTTTCTATACTTTTCCTCCTCGCTTCCGCTGTCCCAAATTCTCTTTCAGCATCACACCAAAACTTTGCCCTTGCCACGGACACTTCGGTCCATCTTCCCATCGCCCAGCACACAGTACCGATATCTTTTACGTGTGGTCCATCACCACTTGCTCGTCGCCGGACAAATGTTCCGAGTTCAGGCTCCGCGTTAGGATCTAATGAATCCACATTAAGCGAGGATATGGTCAGATAAGAGGTGTCGACTATCATAGAAAGGCGTGCGCTGAAAAGTCCAGAAGGATGAGATGCAGAGATTTGATGGTGTTGTAGAGTCGGCACGAGAATTTCCGTAGTAGATTCGTTGGATGAAATAGGTGCAGCTGGAAGGAGAGTAATGTTCGATGTGTATGTCAGATGACTGAATAGTTGCAAATGCGGAAGCGGGTCGTCAAGTGCTATAGGAAGATAGGATGGAAGAGGCTTCTGAATTGGTGGTATAACTGTTTGTCGGGCTTTACGCCGCCCAGCAAATGGCAGGAAAAGATTAGTGGCCTTCAAAGCGCTTACTTTTTCTGGCCTCTCTTGTTTCTCAATTGCAGTCGAGCGTAAAAGTAAATCTAGTATCTCTTCGGAGTTTGATGCTCTTGGCGGTTTTGTACTTTTCGACTCGTGGTGCAGACGTATCCTCTCGTTCTCCTGATTGGCTAAACTGACATCGGCCTGTAATTGCTGTAGTTCTTTGAGAAGATCATCTCTAACTTTCTTCTTCGCTGCATGCGGATCATGCGGAATAGAAAATCTAGCCGACTTTCGTCTCTTAGCAGGTGGCTCCTGTAATGTGTCTACTTCTGCCGGAGGTTCTGCACGTGGTTTCAGTGGAGATGACTTCAACTTCGCGCCTAGTGCTCTATTCCTTCTGGCAGTCTTACTTGTGGTGTTATGAATCCCAACTGGTGGTGTTGTAACGACCGGATCTGCGATACCACGCTGTGTGGGTGTCGGTGGCAAGTCAGGCTCTTCTGGTGTTGCGGGTTTCTGCCTTGCTTTAGATGGAGATAGAAATGTCTTTTCCGAAAATGTAAATAGTGGCCGTTGTGTTGACCTAGACATAGATAATTGCCGCGCTTTACGCTCTGTGGGAGAGTCATCACTCATCAATGGGTTTACATCATCGGACTTTGGAAGCTCGGGAACTTGAGGTTCATCCTCCGGTTCCTGTTGTTGAGGCACATCAATTATAAAAGGGTCATTTGTTTGTAAGGTCCGTGGTTGAGGTGGTACAGGATCATTTGGAGTCGTAGAAATAACCTGATCTGCGGTTTGTGAGTCAGGCACAATCTCTTCCTCTTCTGAAGCCTGAGAGGGTTCGGCGGGGCTCGCAGGCAAAGCAGATTCAGCTGACTGTGCAACTTGTGTACCTGGAACACTAATAGACCCAAAAGCTTGAGAGGAACGAAGTTGACTTGAACCTCGGCTCCTAATGACCACTTCTTCTGGAGCCCTAAGATAAGGCTCCAAAGCTTGAACAGGTACTGGATCTTTCGGCGTAGTTGAAGCATATACAGGTATCGGCTCTTTAGGTGTCGTTGAAGGGAATACAGGTACTGGGTCCTTTGGTGTAGTAGAGGCATATAAAGGAGCTGAATCTTTTGGAGTGGTAGACACAGGTAGAGATGCTGGATCTTTTGGAGTGGTAGAAACAGGTTCATCCATTTCTATGGATGCTTGAGGCACAGTTGTTCCTGAAGCTGGCACTGCAGCAGGTGGTGATCTCCTTAGTCCAGTTTTCTTAAAAGGATTGACATCATCTTGCGATTGTTCTTGCGGTTCTGCCGTAGGCTGGCTACTCTGTCCCGGTACGGGTGACCTTCTCAATCCCGTCTTTTTGAATGGATTTGCAATTCCCTGGATATTCTCGAATTCAGCCGCGGGCTTGAAATTGCTCCTTGGAGTTTCGGTAGCGATTGGTCGTTTGGCAGGGGATTTTGACATTCTCCTCGGTTTCGATGCCATTCCACCTCCAATTGATCGAGCCCTCGTGGGTGTCCGAGCAATCGCATCATCTCTTCCGTCCCTGGTCGATCCTGGAATTGGTCGTTCTGCACCAGTAGTGACACTCCTTCCTCTTTCTCGTTGCGGTGTATTTCCCAGCGCTCTATTGAAAGTTTTCTGTACTCTCCCTTTACTCGGAGATCTGCCAACTTCCGGTCCCGTAGAAGCGGCTCTCGCGAGTATTTGCGGATTGTGGCGTGCTAAGCTTGCCTTCGTTGGAGAGGCAAACGAGGCATAACGCGCCGATTGTGAAGGGACGGGGATGCGACTCGGGGTTGGTGGGACATTCGCAGTAGGAATGGGAGTTTTCGAACGACGTGAGGGGGTATTATCTGCCATATCCGCGGGTGTCTTGCGCTATCCCATTGCCGTTTCAATTGGAGCAAAATACGTTGTTGTGAAGCAATGTTTACTTTAATTTTGGATCGCGTGTTAGGAGGACGCGACGGGAGGGGTTTCGCGAGACAGCTAGAGATATAAAATTCACCACTTCACTACAATCATGCACCTGAACAGAAATAGTAACATTAATAAATTTTTATCATCTTTTCAGGTTATAACAGTTTTGGAAGGCACTCATGATTAATATTGAATGCGATTAAAGTTTTGAATCTGAATCGAATGTTGCTGCGTGAATGTGGAGTGAAGTTTCAATACTCCTGCGGATGCTGACCATTCTAATTCACAGCGATGACGTTCCTCGAAAACTTTCCGAAGCTTCAATCCCCGAAAAATAAATAATGCGCCCGCCGCTGATTCTTCGCCTACGAAGAATCAACCAACTTTTTGAAAGTCCAACGGCCCCTCTAATGATTTTACGATAACACAAAGCCTACAAACTACTCTACAGAGTATATATCTTAATACAATAGCCGAACTACACAACATGGAACAAAGAACTTTACTCCGACTATCACAACGCCTCAAACTCCCACCCTCAGTCCGCCAGCTCCCCTCCTTTCTACGCTACGAATCTACATCCAATAAGCCAGCCCACCAAGCCCACCCTGTAGGCGACTACTATTCCTTACTCCTCTCCTCTTCTTCTCCAGAAATATCCTCCGCGCCCCCCACTACTGCTTATCCCTCAAATCCGCCTATAACTGCATCTTCTCCTACAGAACCCGCCGCAGACCCCGAACCTGCGATTCTTTTCTCCTCTCGTCTATCCTCCCCTTTAGAACGACGCTCCGAGATCTTGCGCAAAAGTCAACGTATAGCAGGAGTACTCGTCCCGCCGCGCCCAGAAGAACCAGATAACTGTTGTATGAGTGGGTGTGTGAATTGTGTTTGGGATCGCTATCGGGATGAAATAGAGGAGTGGGCTGCTGCTAAGAAAGATGCGGATAGAGCGTTGAAGAAAGAAAAGAGGAGAGAAAGTACGGGGGTTTTGGCACAGGCGGCTACGAGTATGGATGATGACGGTGGTGGGAGTGAGGGAAATTGGGATATAGGAGGGGAGGGGGATGGCGACAATTTATTCGAGGGAGTGCCGGTTGGCATAAGAGCTTTTATGGCGCAAGAAAAGAAGTTGAAGGAAAAGCATCAAAGAGAAGGCACGACGGGGTAATGAACAATTGGAGAAGGGGGGTAATTGAGACGAATCTTTTGCGCGACTTATTAGATGGTATCACATAGAGGAACAAGATCAGGAAGTACCAGAAGAATATTGGTACACCCGAAGCAAATAGAGATGCTTTTCTGGAGCACAAAATATTAAGGACCGGGCGCTCACGGCGTAGAGGCATAAGAGAATGCGGTAGATCTCATTGGTGTCTGTATATCACATACTGTAGATAGATCTGCTCAATCACGGATTGGTCTTGTAGGATACACTCTTCATTCATCCCCCGGCACCTTAACGAATAGCACGCCAATGTAAAGAATATCCCTTCAATTATGCGACAAATTTACTCCTTCCATTCAACCTTCCGACTCCAACCCGCTGCCAGTATGCCACTCGATATCCATTCGCGCTGCCTCTCCTTGCCCGAAACACGTCGTCCTTCACCATCTAATCGACATCCACACCTTTCGTTCTGAGATCCTTCCTCGCCAACTCAATCTCCTCCATCAATTCCGCATGCGCCTTTGGCACATCGTTAAACGTAAAAACGCCATAGCCCAACTTCCCCAAAAGATACGCTCCAAACGAAACCAACACCCAGAATGGCAACTATTTGCGCAAGAACAATACCAAGTCAGTGATAATACTCTTGATGTGGGCGACGATCGATATTGTGGCTATCGATTTGATCGAGCCGTCACGACGGGAAAACAAAGTCGAGGAGGGAGAAGCGGGCGGAGGGAAGGGAAAGGATTCGTATGTCCAATCACCTATGAGAGGGGAGAGAGGAACTTTCTCCCAGTTCTCAGGAAGAGGAAGTTCGGCATCGTGAGCGGGAAGAGATGTCATGGGTATGGTACAAGTAGCCATATCCTTTCCCTCGGTGCGTGCTCATCAAGGAAAAGAAGAGAAGAGAGGAGAGGTGAAGGGGGTAGAAAAAATAATAACACAAGCATAACGTACCACAGGAATAACCTCCTCAGAAACCTTTCCAGGAAGAGGTATTAACTCCAAGTAAACTGCCAGGTATAACTAAGTGAATTCCTCGAATCAGTAATCATTCGTCCATTTCTCTTTCCATTTCCAATCTCGCCCCCCGAATCTGCCGTAACATCCTACTATGTGTTTGCAAATTTGCACAGAATAATCCAACACATGATGACCAATTCACACAATCAGAGGCAGAAAACATACCGAAGTGACGAGTAAGCCAATAGAGATAGTTTGCTGTGCGCGCGTCATCTTTGCGATTCCGTGTGCGATTGCTCAGGTTCGGGGTTGATGTGTTTTATAAGGTTAGGGTTCCGGTGTGTGTGATGCGTGTGTGAGTTGGCAGATTCTCAAGGGTGGGCAAAGGAGTGTGGTTCGTAAGGAAAGTTGTGGTTTTGCTTTCTTCTCGGGATTGGGTTGATTTGAGGACAGCTGGAGCTCGTCAGTCAGTCGCGATTGGATTAGAGCCCGAAATTCGACGGTGTCACGTGTCGCTCCTCGAGAATCCTTTCCCTTTTCTTGTCATTATCTTTTTCAGAGGTTGCTTTTCAAATGCATAGCCATGAACATGATTTTGGGATAATTAGGTTATTTGAAAGGCTTTGAAATATTACATATAGTCCATAGGAGAATCTTGATTACAAAACTATACGATATATGATAACCAATTCCTCATCCACAAGGGAATATTACTCCTCCCACTCAGTATCATTCAACGCCCATTTAAGTACCTTGATAATTTAAGTTAATACAATAAATCACATTCTAATCGACATCTGTCGGACTAGTTTCCTCTAAAGGCATACCCGCAGAGGGTATCCTATCTCTCAACCATGCCAGTGTAGCCTCTGTACCTTTCTCTAATATCGTGTATTTTGGCACACGGAATCGATTTCCACTGACATTCAAAGTCTGCAACCCATCTGGTCCACCCATAAGCCCAATTCGCGAGTTTAAACTATTTATTTCATTGCTGCTGCAGTCCAAATGTCTCAAGCCCTGAACTGCTTCCGGCAGCAATTCGCGAATCGTATTGTTTGATGCCATGAGGAATATCAGGCTAGGGAAATGAGGCTTCAGAACAGGTAACGAAGTTAGACGATTGAAACTGATATCGAGTTTCTCTAAGTTGGGGGCTTTCAGATGCTGTATGAGTGGTTGTAGAGAGTTGAATGTGTTGGAGCTAAGGTTCAACTCCTTCAAAGCAGGTAGGTCTAAGTCATCCTTTAGGAACGTGTCGCTCGTCAATTCATTGTGAGCGATACTCAAGGAGGTGAGAGTAGATGCAAAGAAAGCAATAGAGCTGGGTATCTCTTTGAATTGGTTATGTTGCAAGTGCAAAACTCTGATTGTATCCCGTGCAGCCACTTCTGCAGCTATCACTGGATTGAGGGAGTGAGAAGTCGTGCTAGATCGATCGAGAATCCCTCCATCTTTGACGGGCCAATGAGAAGACGACGGTCGACTGGAGATGCTTGGGGTACTTGGCTCAGACAAGAAACCATCTTTCTCTTGCTCAGTTGGTGTAATCCGGGCTCGTAAAGCATTTTTCAAGTCTTCGGTTGACATTGCTGAGAACTTTCTTTCTCTAAGTGGATTTCCACTTATTCGAAAGATGTCAAGACTTTCCATTCGACCGATTCTATCATCCAGAACTTTAATGTTATTACCGCTAAAATTGACATTTTTGATCTTGAGGAGGTCGACAAATCCGGCTGGCAGCTCAGAAAGATTATTATCCTCGGCTGTAAGTGTACGTAAAGATACCCAGGATGTCAAATCTGGAAAAGTTGCAATGCGGTTTGAGGAACAGCTCAGCTGATGAAGTGAAGGTAGCTCGAGCTCTGATTCGCAGAGAGCAGTAATTGCATTGCTCGTGACATCCAGAACTTGAAGTTGTGGAAGACTTTTCACAGCTCCTGTTACGAGAATACCAACGAGGCCGTTCTTGACAGCTATAAGCTCAATGAGGGGTAGATGGCTAAGAATGTCAAAAGGTAATGATTGAAATCTGTTCTCGGTGATATTTAGAATCCTCAATCGATCTAATTGTGATAGCGTGTCCGGAAATGTATCAAGAGCATTATGTTGTATCTCTAGAACTTCGAGATTTTTTAAGCATTCTATATCTGGACTTAAAGTCCCACAGAGACCATTGTTTGCTATTTTGAGTTCCCGCAGAGAATTGATTTGTGTAACGATTGGGAGGCATTCATTGCCTAATTTATTGTTTGACTATTGATAATTAGCAATTGATCATTCTACTGCATCAAATATTAGCTAGTCAACTTACCAGATTCAAAGATGTTAAATTCTCAAGTCTACGTAGACCCAGAGGAATCTCTTTCAACAGATTGCCATGCAGATCCAATGTCTCAAGGCCACCAAAAATGTTGCCTTCAAATTCATCATCTTCCATGGCTTCACGTGGGTCGATATCCGGAAAAATGTTGTCACCAAGATTTTCAAACTCATTATCGGCGGCAATAAATCTGGTCAAATCGACAGCTTCAGCCCACGATCCACCCTGATCACCAAGTGCATCAAGGTTGTACATGGACATGACCTCCTCAGGCATTTCCTTGAGGCCCATAGCAGCGATATTGAGGCGACCATCGGTACGTGCAGCGGAAATTCGTTTGCGGAGGAGGCCTTTACTGGCGTTTGGATCAATACGTTGATTAAAGGGGTCATCCGAAAGGCCGAAATCAAAAGTCGCCGTAGGAACTACAGGTACCTCTTCGTGATTGCTCGCGGCACTTGCGGTTGCTGCCGCTCGCTTTGCTGCTTTGGCTTTCGCAATCTGATCTCTAAGAGATGAAGATGATTTTGGCGCAGCCGGTTCTTCCGTTTTGTCGGTTGAAGCAGATCCACTGGGAGCTGATGTCACAGGTCTATGAGGAATGCTCTTAAAGTTCATTGATCTCTTTCTATCAACAGGGCTGATATTGTCCATGGCAGTACGTTTCTCTGCAACATCTTCACTAGGCGCCGATGTGACAGACTGAGAAGGAATGTCCCTGAAATTCAATGACCTCTTCCTTGGACCAAAACCAATGCTGTCCGCCTCAAACGATTGGTCCATCAAAGGCATTGACGGTTTGCGAAACAGACCAGTCACAGAGGCACGCTCCTTCACTGATCGGGCACTGAATGTCTTGCTACCAGATTTTATTGTAGGCAGTCTCTCTGGTTTGACCGGACTTGGGGATCTTTGTAACGCATTACCGGGGGATGGAAGCTGTGCTATGCTTCCAGGACTGAAGCTACTTCGAACCGTTGGTGTCTTGAGTGTCTTTGCAGGACTTGGTCGTTTCATCGGTGTAGAAGCTTGATAATTCGTGGGTGGAGGTCGGAAGGTGCCCGAAGATGACCGGAAGTCAGTAATTGATTGAGCAGAATCCGCACTCGATGTTGGCCTTGAGCTGGCAGAACGGCGAGATGGTGGCCTCATAAAACCATCATTTTGATAACTGGATCCAGGTCTGGATGATGAACTCGCGCGAGACACAGAACGTGGAGTAGCCGAGGGATTAAAAAAGTTCGATTGTCTCCTCCGAACAGCTGGTGATGGCGGAATATGCTGAAGTGTTTCCATCGTTCGTTCGGATAGGGAAGGTCGAGAAGACGAGCTCCCACTCAAAAGCTCTTCATCATCGCTTATTACTGGAGAGAATCTGTGTTCCTTCACATCCTCATCCTCACTTGAAGTTGGCCGAAATTGTTCTTGTTCAATCGTTGGAGGCTTTCGAAAGGAATTATAGCTTGTCTTGGGCTGTATTGGCCGCGGGTGTAGATGACTAGCAGCAGGGGCTGCGATACGTTGTCTCGATGCTGGTGCAGATAGTTGATCTCTCGACAGTGTGCTTCGCAAACGTGGGTTGCTTATAGTACTCGAAGGCCGGGAAGGTTGCTGTTGCTGTCGCAAGTTTTCCCTCGAGGCTGAAGGTCGCGGAAGACGTGAAGGTCTGGGAAGACCAGATGGTCTTGGTTTGTTGACTGGAGTGTTGTCCATGATTGTGAATGTACTCGTGAAAGCAATAATATATTCAATTAACAATCATACCTTGCCGGAGTTATGTGAAATCGTAAAAATCGAAGATGACGCTCGAAGTAAACAAACAGGTTTCCCCTGTAAACAAACGCAAGGTACGCAAATCCGCAAAAAAAGGAAAGGGGAAAGCGATTGATAAACTACCTTCTGATGGCACGAATTGTATTGTATCTTGTATCTGCGAAAGGAAAAGAGACTTCCAAAGGTTCTCTCTCCTTCTCCGATCAATAGATAATAGATTGAGTGACCGTGTCAAGAGCTGCTTTTATAAAGCGGATCTCTTATTGAAATCTCATTTCCCAATCGCCATAGAAGCTCAGTTCTCCGGAGAATAGTAGGTAATTTATTTATTACCTTGTGGGTATTTATCATTGATTAGGAGAACTGATGGTCTGAGGTGGGGGGGGGTGCGCTCGGGTTATGGTGTTGGGAGATAATTAATAGGTAGTGTAGTACTGGTAGGTACAGTGTGTGTGCTGTGTAGGTTTGACTGATGTGATAGCTGACATGATAGTGCTACATACATACATACATGGCTTGAGTCGGGTTGAGACAGGGTTATTACGATGGAGGTACTAGGTAGGAATTTAATGCACAATTTGAACTTGTGAAGCGCTGATGGTTCATATAGTTCATATAGTTTATATAGTTCATATAGTTCATATAGTTCATAATAATACACCAAATAATACTTGAATGGGTCCAATTGTCCGAGCTTGGAGAAAGCCAAGGATATTAGGTAGCTGGGTACATAAATGATAGGTACATGATAGGTACATGATAGGTACATGAGATATCTAGGATAGGCAAGAAGATGATAGCTATCACACAGTACTACACAATAATAGCAACGAAAAAGCAAGGAGAAACTTATGTGTTCTTTTTTTCTCATTTATTAGTATCTTGGTGTTTGATGGTCTTCATGTATACCTATATAGGCAGTGACATGCTACCTAGTACTTGAGCAGATCAATAATTGTCTTCTCTGATTTATACAATAACCCTTTCTATTTGACTTTCTGGCTACAGCTAGGTCGGCAGGTAGATAGTCATGGTCAGCCTTTTTTCATCCATCTCCTCTAACATCGAGCTTATATCAGATAGGCTTAGTGCAGCCTCTTCCTCATCCACATCCTCAGCCTTCTTCTTCTCGGGTTCAATTTCAAACTTCACTTCCCCACATGACCATGACTATCAC